ATACCGGTAATTGTACTGGGAGAAGTAACAATTTGTGTATTTTATTCATTAAACTGTTAGAAAGAGAACAAATATCCCTTCAAGTGACAGGACGAGCGCGAGGAGCGGAGCCACGTGACTGCGTCGCGTCAGCGGCGCTCTCTTATCGAGCGGCCCAAGATCCACAAAACCAACAGAGGGTTCACTCTGCTTTTGATTTGAAGTACAGAAACGCAATCTGACTCAGCACAAAACGAGTAGGTTGCACAAATTAACACCGGCTGTAAGGGGAATTCGTCGGCGGGCGATAAAGTGACGTTTTAGCTGGTGTCTTTGTGTGCATGTGCGTAAGTGCCTGTTAGCAAAATTTCTCATGAACAATTGGACCGATTTTAATTAAAGTTCCAGCCAGGTAATAATCACTGGATCACATCAAATTGACAGTAGGCCCTATAGCCACACAGGTACTGGTCTATGAGGCGAGGAGGAGGAGACATCATGCTCAATAATCCAGGTAAAAAAAACAAAGCAATTGTTCAGTCAGGTCATCTGGACAGTTCCTTTTCATTGTTGAGAGACGTTTCACCCTCCATCTGAAGGGCTTCATCAATCTGAGAAGTCACATACAATCTGTTCCCCACAGTACATTATGGAGCAACCAGTTTGCTGGTGACAACATTCAATCATTCAACCTTTATTTAGACAGGTAAATCCCATTGAGCCTCGAGGACTCATTTACAAAAGAGACCTGATTTCAACAAAGAATGATGACAACAATGGACAACAGCAACAACAATATACAATTATAAAAAGTCATACAGATTTTTTTTTTTTTACAAATAATTTGGCAAAAAACGTAACAAAAACCAGCTAGATCATAAGGCGAATGTAGAAAACTAAAAACAGGAACATGTCTGCATTGGACCCTGCCAGGAGTCCAACAGATGTTTAAAGCCACTTAGAGAGGTCAAGGTCGAGAGCTTCAATTGTTTTTGTAAGATATTACAGGAAACAGGAGCGGAGTAGGAGAAGGCCCTTTTGCCTAGTTCAGTCCTCACTGAGGGAACACTGCAGGTAATAATGTCCTGAGAGCGCACGCTGTAGCTGCACTCACGCAGACACATGTAGGAGGAGATGTATGAAGACAGCAGACCAAGAAGTGATTTAAAGATGAACATGTACCAGTGAGAGAGTCTGCGTGAAGTTAATGATGTCCAGTTAACCAGTGAATACAGGGTGCAGTGGTTGGTACGATAATCACAGCCAGTTATGAATCTTAGTGCACCATGATAGACAGCATCCAACATCTGCAGGGTTCTTATAGGAGCATTCATGTAAATAATGTCACCGTAATCAATGGAGGGAAGGAAGGTCACAGATACAAGGCGTTTTCTAGCATTCAGGGTTAGACAGGATCTGTTTCTGAAAAAGAAACCCAGTTTAACTTTCAGTTTCTTTACTAGGTTTTCCACATGGAGCTTAAAAGAGAGTGCGAATCAACCAAGATACCCAAATATTTATAGGAATCAACAAACTCAATGGGGACATCATTTGAGGATGAAATCAGAGGAAGAACTGCTGGGACCGACTTCCTGTTTGAAAAAAGCATCCCTTTGGTTTTGTCGGCATTTAGGACAAGTTTGAGGTGGAACAAATCAGACTGGACGATGTTGAATGCAGATTTCAAAAGCTGGAAAGCCTTATCAACAGTTTTAGCTCGACAATAAACAACTGTGTCATCAGCATAGAAATGTATGGATGCATTAGGGATGTTTTGACCTACATTGCCTATGTAGCTTGTAAAGAGGGTGGGTCCTAAGACTGAGCCTTGTGGTACACCATTGTTGACTGTAAAATAACTGGAGGTATTCGATAGTTGTTCAGTGAGGTGGGGTCACCTCCCTTCAGCAAAGGAAGAACAAAGTCTGTTTTCCAAGCATCTGGGATTGAGTTTTGTCTCATGGAGAGATTAAAGATGTGGGTAACAGGGACTGTGATGATATAAGCAGCCAGCCTTAAGAAATAAGGTGGAAGTTCATCTGGACCTGCAGATTTTTTAAGATCAAGACCTTTTAACAGTTTATTGACCTCACTAACAGAATGAAGAAAAAGAAAAGGTGTGATTAACTGAGGACTGACTTGTAGGAGGGATTTGATTTGTAGAAGTTTGATTATTAAGTGAAGTGGCTGATTTTCCATTAGTAACTGTGTCAAATAAAGAACTAGAAGCAACAAAATGTGAAACAGTTCAGGATCTCGTGCTTATGGAACAGAGTTAACGAGACGTTGTGATGGGAGCTCAGATGGTTGTCAGATGGTAGTAGCTTAGACTGATCACCAAAACGTATTTGAAGAATTTACAGATGGCACCAGCGTTCTGTTTAAAATCTTGCTGTTGTTTCTTTGAAGTCGAAATTGATAATCTGTTAGCAACATCTCATGATAGACTTGATTATATCTAACTGTCAGAAAACAGTCAGTGGATGTAGCACGTGCACAACTTGTCAACTTTTAGGTCAGTCCAATCCAAGATGGCTGCCACAGCTAATTGACATTAGCCAACAGAGTTGATTTTACAGCTACTATAGCTGAGAGTAATACATGCTGCGAGTGCTAATCATCATAAATATATTTTTAATCTTCTATCAAATCAGCAACAAAAATGTAAGTGTCTCTGGCGGGCGATATGTATTTCTTAACAGAATGCCAGGACTTTATTAAAGCACTACGGATCAACAGCTGTTCTTTCTTCTCTCGGGACTACAAATAGACCTGACTGCGTTACAAGTGCGCATGCGTGCGCATGTTTCGACTGTTCTGGCTGACCGGAAGACGAGCTGACGCCACCGAGTGAAGCATCGCTTCCGCACATTCAATCTTCATCTCGGGCTGTAGCTGTAGTTGAAGGACGTTCCTCTGGTTAAAGTGTAACCACAGAGATCCTTTATAAACCTGAAATCTTCTTCATCCGGCAGCATCCCCACAGGAGGAGCACGGAGGTGAGAGCGCCGACTTCTGTAGCATCTTCGCGCGAAGCTTTGAGGCTGAACAGAAGAGAGAAGCTCTTCCTGTCGGGTGACAGTAGCTAGTTGAGCTCGGGCACTGCAACCTTGGTGTTTCTGTCAAACTAAACGTTTTCCTTGAAATACGAAGTAGTTCAGCCTCGGTTAGCCCAATATCAGTCTCGGGTTAAGTCGGCGAGTTCACGCAAGACGAGAAGAAACTGGAGGAAGAAGCTCGAGGCTCAAGTGTTGGCGCGCGACAGATACACGAGGAGTGGTTTTCACCATCAGGACCGTGTAAAGTTCAAAGACTTCAAAAAGAAAACATCAAAAACAACATCAAAAGACGAGAAGGCTGCACGAGACACTGACATCAAAGGACGCACAGACATTAAAAGATCCTTAAGGAGGCCTTAAAATACAAACCAATAATCATTTTCCTCCAAAAATCATAAACTTTACTACAACTTTATTTTAAATTTAAACATTCACCTTTTGGCATTCACAGGATATAACATGTAAATTAAAATTAAAGGACCAGCTGTTGGTTTAAAGGGCCAACTCCATCATGACGAGTCAATCAGAGGAAGCAGAGATTCATTTTGTATGTACAAATAAAACATTCAGATTTTTCAACATTTTCTGTAAAATAATCCTGTTAGAAGCATCAAGCTGAGCAGGGCGAGCCCTTTTTGTTGGAATTAATCACAGACTTGACCTTCAGAGAGAGGAGAGGAACAAGAAGTCATAATGGAGATTTAAATGTTCTTTAAACTTTGTATTTTTGACAGGAAATCATAAACTGGAGTTTTTCTTTTCGCATTGTTTTTTAAAATAACGTTGCTTAAAACAACGGAGACAAAAACCAAATGGGCATAAGGAGACGCGAAAAGACAAAAGAAAAAAAAGGCAGCTCAAGCAAACTGGTGGACATGTTTGTGAGACGCACATGACACAAGGACACAAAAAACAGGAGAGGACACAAACTAAGCAAGTGGAGTAGATTTCATATGCTGCAGCTTTTGGAGGATTTAATATATTTAAACGTTCCTGAACAAGATGAACGTTTTGACGCCTGAATAACTGAAAGTGTGTTGGTTCACAAATCGAAGACACTAGACATGCACAATATTGGATTTTTGCCCGATGTGTTAAAACTTATTTGGCTGATAACCGATACCAGTACTGATATTTTTTCCCCCTTGACTTACTTACAGAGACTAAAAGTACTACATTATTCTGCATGGTCAACACTTCAACATGGACTATGTTTAATGTCAAACTTATTCGTGACATTTACTCTCTCTAAGACAATGACGACAAAGTGCATAAGTGGTAGTGCATTAATAGAAATAGTTTCTTAAATTAAAAAAAATAACTTAAACAGCAGCCTTTAATATCTGTGAGTTATTTTGATGGACCCGCCAATGTCCAGTATTTATTTTTATCGCTAATATCAACCGATACCATGCCGATAATATCGTGCATCCCTAGAAGAAACGGTCAGCAACTGAGTTTGTCTCCAAAAAAAATTACGTTAGAAATCTAAATCCTCATTACCGCCTGCTTCCTAAAGATGGACGTGTTATTTTGCCTCTTTTTGTGCATGTATGTGTAGTAGCTAAGAGTCATTTAAAACATGCTCCCAAGTGCTACTTTAACAACATCTAACTTTTATGTAGCACCCTTTTTATTTTCCTGTAGGTCTCTTGTTTTGCAACTGCTGATTTTAGCTGGTTAGAGTTGGCTAAAATGTACTTTTCCTTCAAAAAACCAGCTAAAATCTCTCGTGTCGGTGCAGCAACGAGCTCACAGGCCGGTTGTTATCGTCACAGCTCCACCCTTTGGAAAGTTCATCTCTTGTCCCGCTTTGTGCTCCGAACAGTCGAGCTGTGGTCCGAGCGGATAGCGGAATGAAGAAATACCAGTCAGAGTGATGGCGGAGAAGAAGAAGTAGCAGAGCGAGGTGACGCAGGAGATCCAACTTTGACTGAATCGAAGAAGCTGCCGCTCTTCTTTATGGAGCAAGAAGAAGCAGCTCCGGAGGACGCGGGCTCGCAGCTGATGCTCAGGATCGAGCGTCCGGTTTACGATGAAGCTCTCATCAGGAAGCAGCTCCTACACCGTAAAGACAACTCCATCACCTTCCGTCAGAGGCTGGCTGACAAGTTGAGGTAAGCTCCATGCGTGTCTTGTTCATCACAAAGTGCTACTACGATCGTACGTGACCATCAGCACCGTGAACAAGGGTTTCCTCTCTGACACGGTTCTTCTCTCGCACCTTTTTTAAAACACTAAATGTTTCAGATTAGCAAACAATTTATTTTTGTCTGACTAATTTAACTGGAGTGACCTGATGCATGCTCAATAATCCAGGTAGAAAAGTCTAACGAGGTTAAGTTGGGTCATCTGGACGGGTTCTTCTGTCTGGAGTGAGTAAGATGATCATTTTATTTAATACAAGAAAAAGACTTTTCAATCCAACCTGACCCTGAGCACAAAACTCATTATGATCTGTATATTTTTTGGGAAAGCTGCGTTTAATTTGACCAAACTCAGGTCTGATCACCAACAGGCGTGTAGATTCAAGAAACCACTGAAATAGAGCCGTCATCCATAACCGGAGAACACATGGAACAGCGTTGACCCTTTCCAGGAGTGGCCAGTCCACCGCCGACTCGTCTGAGACACGGCTACAGCCTGCGGCCTCACCTGCCTCGGTTCAGGTCAAAGTTCATGATCCAACAGTGAGGATGAGACAAACTGGCCTCCATATGGTTCAAGGCCGAAACCACTGCTGAGCGAAAAGCTTTGTCTGACATTTTCCAAAAAACATCTGGATACGCAAGACTTTTGGGAAAATATTCTCCGAGAGCATGCGTACAGCCACACACGGAGGTGGTAGTGTGATGGTGCGGGGCAGCTTTTCTGCTTCAGGATCTGGACGACGTGCCATAATTGATGGAACCAACAAATAATTAGGTTAATTAAAGAGGAATTTTTTTTTTTAATTTTTACAAAGAGTTAGGTTTGTCAGAATTTCTTTTCTTTTGATAAATGAAATAATGAAAAATTAAATTTTGTATTTTCTCTGTTCGTCTTTATCAGATATTAGTATTGTTTTGTCGTACTTGCACGTTTTGATCGGAAACATGAAAATAAAACCAAAATAAATCTGTAAGGGCACGGATACTTTTCTTTACAGGCTCGTGTACACTTTGCTTCACGTCATTTATTCTGAAAGACGACAGACAAAAATCTCTACTACTTCATAACTGGTGTAGATTGTTCCGTTTTTTAAAATTGTTTTGCTCGTTTTATCAGTGAAACAAAATGCAGCTTCTTTAGTTTGTACATTAGAATGTGCCTTAGTGTAAAAGTGAACTTAGGCAGAGGAACAAAACATCCAGAACAGGCGAAATGAAAGGTCTGGTGTGTGTAGCATAATCTGTTAACATGATGGTTGTCTTCCTTGTTCTACTGGTCAAACTACTTTGTTATCCTGAGGACATCAAAACTCGTTCAGGCAAATATTTAAATCCTGTGGAAGAAAGATAAAATTCAAAGTTATGATAATACAGCCTTGTAGGACGAACAACAAAACATTAAATTCAATTCAGTTTATTTATAAAGCGCTGAGTCACAACAGAAGTCGTCTCAGGGCGCTGAGCAGAAACATTTATATACAGTATATATAAAAAGTTAATAACATTATTTATCTGAGGAGCAGACGTTACAGCAGATGAACAGGAAGTGACAGTGCCCTTCATTTTTGTAGTTTTCCTACTAATGCATTCTTTTTGCTATTTCAGCTACTCATAAATCAAAACATTCGGCTCATTCTGCTGCAGGACCTTTGGTTTTAGTAACTTCTGTACTTTTGAAAATATTTATTTATAAATATTTTCCCCCCATAGAGATACACTGAGGGGCGGGCACGGTGGCTCAGTTGGTAGAGCTGTTGCCTCTCAGCGAGGAGGTCGCTGGTTCAAATCCTGACTGGGAGCTCGTTTGTGTGGAGTTTGCATGTTCTCTCCGTGCTGCGTGGGTTTTCTCCGGGTACTCCAGTTTCCTCCCACAGACCAAAAATGGATGTGAAAGTGATGCATTGTTCACCAACAAAGTCCATGCTCAATAATCCAGGTATACAATCCAACAATTTTCAGTCCGGTCATCTGGACAGTTTTTTTTTTTTTGTGCTGAAACGTTTCACCTTCCATCCAGAAGGCTTCATCAGTCGAGGAAACACACAACACAAAACTGATACACAAAACATAACTGGTTTGTTCCACTTTGGAGTAACTGTTTGGGGGAGGAATCAGTTTTGTGTTGTGCGTTTCCTTGACTGATGAAGCCTTCTGGATGGAAGGTGAAACATTTCAGCACAAAAAAAGAAACTGTCCAGATGAACTGACTGAAAATTGTTGGATGCATTGTTTACCTTTTTGTTGGGGTGCTTACTGAATGAGAACATCTGAGCGGAGCTTATTTAGATCAGGGCTGAGGAAACTGTTGTCATGGGAACACACATGACAACAAAACACTGAAGACGGGTAAAATCTACAAAAATACAATGTGTAGATTGAACTGTAACTGTAAATACACAAACAGGACAGAACCCTAAACCCTGATGAGTATCCTTTTACATCCATGTTTTCATGTTGGTGCGTCTTGTTCTGTTTGGCTGGAACACCAGCATGCAGCTGCTGGGTTTCCAAAACCAGATGTTCTGATTTTAGTTCCATTATCAAGGAAAAATAGTTGGAGGGGGTCAAACCTTTGAATTCTTCTCATTTCCTGACCTTCACCAGCTCAGAGCCGGGCTGACAGGTTTTAATGGAGCGATAAACGTCACTCGGCCTTTTCAGCGAAACTGTAAAACTCAGTTAATTTTACTCAGTCGGAAATAAAAAATCTCAGCTTAACATCTTGGAGAACATAAAAGCTATTGCGTAGAGTGGTAGACATGTTCCAGTGAATAAACACTGTTATCACGGCCTTTGCTGCTGCTGATAATGAGAACCAGTTGGTGAAAAACACTCAGTGCACCATGCTGCTCCTTTGGATCAGCGGGTGTTGTATGTGCTGGGAGTGGATGAGCTGTTTATTGCTGGTTTAAGAGTGGCAGCATGAACGTCTCCAGTACTGCCCAGTTTTGTCGAGCTGCTCCATTTTGCAGCTCGACATCAAGATGAATTCCTGAAAAGCCCACGCATCCAGTCCCGTTGGTTTTTAACGCTCGTGCCGTTACGCATGCATAGTGGACTGAGTGAGAAAGTGACAGCGTCACCTTGTGTAACGAGTAGTTTGACCCTACTGAAACTACTGAATATGGAGCAGCTGTGGCTCAGTGGTTAGACCAGTTGTATTCCAATAGGAGAGTTGGGGGTTCAATTCCACCAGCAGTCACATGTTGAAGTGTCCCTGGGCAAGACACTGAACCCCTTGTCGCCTCTGATGTGTGTCCCATCAGTGTTTAAATGTGATAAAGCTCTGATTAGTCTCTTTAGAATGATTTGTTCAATTAGCTTTGTAGATCTAGTATAGAGCTGTATGAATGGGTAGATGAGGCACAGATTGTTGTAAACAGCTTTGAGTATCTGGATCAGATAGAAAGGAGCTGTATAAATACAGTCCATTTACTATTTACCAATACCACCTGCTAATGGTGAAAGTGAGGAGTGTTCATTGCTCTGTTTTGTTTGCAAAATATCTCACGTCTCACTTGACGGATTTAAATGAAACTCTCAGAAGTAACCACTGGACGTACAACAAACTTCTGTCAGGTCCTGACTTACTGGTGACCTGGTGACTTAATCCACCACGTCCTGAGCTGGTGGATTCCAGAAACTGTCTTATCACCATCAAACTGGTTGATCCACTATGTGCAGGTGTTCTTTACAAGGCTGAGTTTGTTGTGGCTCCTCGGACTGATGAAGTCTTTTGGATGAAAGACAAAACGTTTCAACAAGAAGAATCTGTCCAGGGGACCTGACTGAACTTTGTAGGATTTTTCTACCTGGATTACGGAGCGTGCATCAGGACACACTGGACGTATATTTACACCTGATTAACTTTTGGAGTTCTAATCCATCATGGCCGCCACAGCCAACTGACCTCAACAAACACAGAGAACGCTATAACTTAGTTAATTCTTTAACGCTGAGCTAATCTTTGGTGTGGTAGTAGATGAGAGTTGTTCACTACATTTGCTGTGAGCTGATCCCATGAGATGATGCATTTCAGTGCTGGATCACAGAAACAACTATTCATTTCTCAACAAAAGATCATTTTGGTTTAAAACTTAGTCATGAAGGACGTGTGTATTTATGGTTCCTTCAAGGAACTCTAGGTGTTTTCGTTTCTTTCCACCACGAAGAATAAATAACGTCCGTCTCATTTCCTAGGTGTTCGTCAGAGAGGGCCAAGGCGGTGGTTTTCAGTTTTCTGCCAATTCTAACATGGCTGCCATCCTATCCTGTCAAGAAGTACCTTCTGTCCGATGTGATCTCAGGTCTCAGCACAGGAGTTGTGCAGCTCCCACAAGGTCAGTACCTGTCCGCCTGCTGTCCTAAGCTCGTCGTGTGGAGCTCCAGCCCTTCAGGGCCTCGTTTTGGCTCCACATGGTTTCTGTTGTTGCAGTCGCTGTGGTTTTGACACTGTGATGCAATCACTTGGCTTCTGGAGGTCTCTCTTGTTGACTCTGTCTTCCCTCTGCTCCACAGGTCTTGCCTACGCTCTACTGGCCGCCGTGCCTCCAGTTTATGGTCTGTACTCCTCGTTTTACCCCGTTCTGCTGTACACCTTTTTTGGCACGTCCAGACACGTGTCGATGGGTAAGACGCCTCTTCTCGGAGTCGTAAATGTGTTTGTGAACGTTGGTACTGATTGTTTTTCTTTCAAAACGGATCATGAATCCGTGAAATGATAAAAAAAACAAAGTGGGACTAAAGAGTTTGCGTTTCTTGAAGGAGCACGTCACGGGGGGTTCATGGCAACGTTGTAGAATAACTTCATCCCATGGATGAGAAATGACGGCGCTGGAGATGTTTTAGTCAAACCTTGTAAATATTATTTGTAAGTTCAGGCAAGATGTCACGCTCAGAATATGTTGTGGATGACCCAGTCAGTTTTACAGATATTACTGGCAGCTGAGAGTGGTGGCGCAGAGGTTACAGAAGGTGGGCCTGTGATTGGAAGGTTGCTGGTTTGACCCCCCGGTTCGACAACATGGAAATGTGTGGGAAAGGTGAAACACCCACACCTGCCTCCACCCTCATGTGCCCCACTCTGGGCCCTTGAGCAAGACCCTCCACCATCTGCTCACTGTGTCCTAGATGCAGTTCTCTGTGGTAGCTCGGTGGTCTGTGGTTGAGTCAGGATGAGCATCCGTCGTAAAAACAATCAAGTCGTCATGCGAGTTAGTTCACTGTGGTGACCTCTGACAAAGGGAGCAGCTGAGACAAATTTCCATCTTGTATTCCGAGCACCGACCGATTCTGAGATTTGTTTTTACTACTTTTGTTATCAGTTCTTGGCGTGTCTTTCTGTTAGCAACACATGCCACGACCTACCGGACAGATTTGAATGAAGCTTGCAGAAAGTTGCCGCTGGATGTACGTCTACAACCTCTGGAGTCACCTCAATTCAAGATGGCTGCCACTGCCATCTGAATTTAGAAAACTCTAAAGTAGCGATGACTCACTCCAGTTTAACGGAGACTAAGCTGACGTTGGATGTGGTGGTAGTTGAGATTTATGAGGCTGGAGCAAAACATTATAACTCCCATCTTTTCTCAGAATGAGAGGATTTTAGTTTAAACCGTGACCTGAAAGGCTCTGGGCAATGCTAGGAATGCTAGGTCTTTTGTAGTTAAAATAAAGATCCACCACACGCTGCTTCAGTGGAAAGCTTTTACCTGTTTTACTTTATTAAATTCAACTGGAGACTTCTTGTTTCTTCTGGCCTGGCAGGCAGTGCATGGTTTGTTCTAGTCATGTGGAGCCGTAATAACAACCATAACTGTGATAAGTTACACCTACAGTTAAAAAATGATTAATAAAAAACTATTTTCTAAACGATTGCGAGTGAAAATAAACGATTAAAGCTAACACGTGGCAGCTCAGAGTGCAGACGCCTGTTTCTCACTTTAGAAGGGATTCAGCTGGAGCTCCAATCCGGTTGTGTGATGTTGATTGTGTTTGTACAAAAACTTCCTCAAGTAAAAGCAGAAGTGCAAACTGTCGGATACTGTCTGCCAGCGTTCAGCGTCTGCAGTCGTATTAAAGTAGATCCTCCAGTTTTGTTTATGGGCTCTATCGCTTCAAAAGTGGCGTTTCAGCTGCTGCATATAGATGAACAAACTACCGTAATTTCCAGACTATTGAGCGCACCCGAATATAAGCCGTGCTCACTAAACTAAAACTAATAATAATTTTGTTCATATATAAGCCACTCTTGTCTATAAGCCGAGGGTGTCCACGTTGTAACATGAGACATTTACACAGAAAGATCTGATAAACTTTTAATTAAATACGTACCAGTAACGTACACTAAATGTTTTTTTCAGAACAGTGCCTATAACACGACTGGTTAAAAAAAATAAATACAGTAGCCTACCAGGAAGTCATTGATCGCTGTCTTCATCTGGATGGAGGACAACTTGTGCTGCTCTTCATCACGCAGCAGCCTTTTGAAACCCGTTGGTGATGGAGGATTATTTTACTCCGCTCCACAGTTGTTCTTCTCATGCGGCCAGTTTCGGTGAACGATTTCTCGCCACCAGTCACCCGAGCCTCCCACTGAGCTCCAAGTGACGCATTAATGCACGATTCACTTATTTTGAGTGGCTGAAAATACTTGGATGGGTACAACGGGGAGGGGTGAACGGGAGAACGACCCACCGAGGCCTGTTCAGTAATTTCATTGGTCAGATTTTTTTAACGTTTATTTATACAGGTAGTCTCATTGAGTCATGTAGACCCCCCCTCCCCGACTCCCCCAAGAGAGATGTGTATTGGGCAGCTATGTAAGTGCCCTAGTGTGAGGAGGCTAAATTCATTCAACCTTTATTTAGACAGGTTAATCCCATTGAGCCTTGAGGACTAAAGTAGCGGCTTATTGTCTGGAAATTACGATATTTTGTAGCAGATAAAACTGTTTTTTTTTTTCAATGCTTTTGCTCTGTCTTATGATTTGAAAAGGTTAAAGAGTTTTCTCGCCAAAGCTGCTGACATCATTCTGTTGAGGACTGAAGTGTAGTGAACCACATGCTGAACTGTGATTTGGGAAGATGGCAGGTGTCACATACAAACGACTTAACCTTCAGCACTTGCTTAGTTATGGGCACAGTCCTCTGTGGAAAGATGTTCTTTCCTCCTCAAGGTGACGTGGAGTTGTTCTTCTTTGGCATTTAACTGTAGGAAAGTTAGTCTTGTCCTTTTTTTTTTTTAATTCCATGTGGGCTGGCACCCTTCCTAATCCGTGTTCTTGTATTGTTAAATGAAAGGTCACCTTTACAGACAGTTCACAGCTAGTGCCAGACTCATTAAAGCAGCCAAGACTGTCGAGTATTAGATCAAGTCGATTAATCAGGATTATAAGATAAAAGCTGTGGGGGAACTGTTTTCAGTCAGCCGCTGTGTCTGTGTCCACATCTGACGTGAGCAGCAGCATTATGATGCTTCAGTGACCGCGCTCGGACACATCCCACCCACGTCTGCACTTCCTCTCCTGTATTCACCTCGAGTCGTCTCGTGTTGGTTGACAAATGGCCGTAATAAAACGGAGCTCGTCAAAACCAAACTGAAGACTCAACAGTGAAACGGACCTCGCTCAAAGCTTTTTGCTGATGAGGAACTTGGTGTGAAAATATACCCGAGAGGAATAACTGGGCAGCTGTTCAAGTGCTGGGCATGATGGCCTTTTCGCTCGGGAACGATATGTAGACTCGGCGTGTTCATTTGAAGGTCACGACCCCTGTCGTTTATCTGGAAACGGAGTACATGAAAATAAATGGGGCTAAGGTGAAGCACCTTCCTGTCTGTGTTTGCTCCCACCACTGATAAGATACTGTGCTGTAGACAAAAGACTTCTGTGCACAGTTTTCCTGTGCTAAACATTTGTGCACCTTTTACTTTTTGTGTACAGGTTAAATCTCTCCAGTTTTTCTGTGTATTTATGCAACAAGATTTAAGCAACGTGAGCTTTGGAGAGATTTCTCTCAAATCACTGGTCGACAGGAGTTCATCTGCAGATGTCTGCTCATCAAAGATTCAGTGTTCTTTATTTGTCATTCACATCACATGTGGTACATGTGGTGGAATGAAATTATGCACACAGGGGTCCCAGTTACATCCAACAATAAAATGTAAATGAAAAACAGCAATAACATCTAAGATATGAACTAAGAAAAACATCAACGAAAATACACTAAGCACTAATAGCATAAAAAAAATACATCAAACAGCAGCACGAACATGAGTCTGTGTGAGCAGATGAGCACGAATGAACACATCAACATTGAAACAGATCAGCAGCAACATTGAAACAGATCAGCAGCTACATTGAAACGGATCAGCAGCAACATTGAAACTGATCAGCAGCAACGTGAAACGGATCAGCAGCAACATTGAAACAGATCAGCAGCAACATGATGTGATTTTTCACAGTGATTATTCTGGTTAGAGATTCATGAGTCTAACAGCCTCAGGGTAGAAGCTGTTCCTCAGTCTAGTGGTTCTACACTTAATGCTCCTCAACCTCCTTCCTGAGGGGAGTGGGGCAAAAAGTGTGTGTGCTGGGTGAGTGAGGTCCTTCATGATGCAGATGGCCCTCTTCCTGCATCTGGAGGTGTAGATGTCTGTGATGGTGGGGAGGCTGACTCCAGCATCTTCTGTGCAGCCTTCACCACTCTCTGCAAAGCTTTTCTTTCTGCAGCTGTGCAGCCTCCATGCCACACGTTGATGCTCGAGCACAGGATGCTCTCCACTGCACACCTGTAGAAGGAGGTGAGGACTGAGCTTCCCAGACCAGCTCGCCTCAGCCGTCTGAGGAAGTAGAGTCTCTGATGAGCTTTCTTGATCAGGCTGGAAGTGTTGTTGCTCCAGCTGAGGTTGTCATTCAGGTGCACCCCAAGTACTTGTAGCTGGAGACCACTTCCACTGCAGATCCTCTTATGTTCAGGGGGGGGGGGGTGTAGGTGTGTTTGTTCCTTCTGAAGTCCACAATCATCTCCTTCGTCTTCTTCACATTGATGTGAAGGTTATTCTCTTTGCACCAGCTCTCCAGGTGTTCCACCTCCTGCCTGTAGCTGGACTCATCATTGTTTGTGATGCATCCCACCACCACTGTATCATCTGCAAACTTTACAATGTGACAGCCTGCATGGGTAGCTGCACAATCATATGTGAGCAGAGTAAACAGGAGGTGGCTCAACACACATCCCTGAGGAGAGCCAGTGCTGAGGGTTATGGAGGAGGAGGAGAGGTTGTGGATCCTCACTAACTGTGGTCTGTTTGTTAAAAAGTCGCACTTAGTTTGTATACGTTTGCAGTGTTTTATGTAGTAAGTAAAACAATTAAAAAGGAGCCTTTGCTTTAAGTTTTAAAGAGAATATGTTGAGCTCCGATACAGTGGAAGCTGATTAGAGTTAATCTATTTAATTGACTGTTCACACTTACACAATTACCAAATGGGAAAATGTAGATGTAGCTGCTGCTACGACCTGTAACCCACAATATACATTTATGTTTTGACCCAATATGCATGATTTGTATCACAAAACAGGCTCAACATATTCAGTGGGCTTTTTGTGGTGCTCTTGTAGATTAGATGGAGTTATAAATAATGTTCATGTAGCAGGAGCAGCAGACTTCCAACTCAAATGGAAATGTAAATATTTATAGCATAGGTAGGTAAACAGACTGAAGTTCTGCAGCCAAAGCAGGAAGAAGAAACTCCTTCAACTACATGAATATATTAAAACTTCAACTACATTAATGTATTAAAAAATAAAACAATAGGCTTATTAACACTGTCTCATTATCATTATGCTAAGCATGAAATAACAGTTCACAACTGAGGTCTTTTTAGTTTAATGTGTTACAAGTTTTTTTTGTTAAGTATGTTACTTATCCCACTCTGTTAGAAGCAGTGCTGGTTAATTTCAAAGCACTTTTCACAAACTGAAGTGAAGCAGTGAGTGGCTTACTGTTGATGTCAGAAATCTTCGGAACAGGCTTTACATGGATCTGTTTAAAACCAGCATTTTTCTCTGCTTAGATCCCGTCTAAAGATTTGCCTTGGTTCAAAACTCTTCCACGTTCTGACTCCGAGAAGTGCACTTTATACTACTCAGGAAAAATGGGGAAGTAGCATATTGACAAAGAAAATCCAGAGTTAAAGCAGAAGCCAACTGTCTAACAAGCAAGGAATTGAGGCTTGTGAGCGTTTTTCAAGTTACTTTTCTCATATTTTATTCTGAGAATTATTACAGTTCTTATTAAACCAGTGTATTACTTAGGATATTGACCAGAATAAATGTAAAAACATTCCTGAATAAACATTTTTGGTTTAAATCTGGTGATTTTAAAATGCTCAGGTTTGATCAACCATTAATGCGGGACACTTTTTCATTTTAACATGTGATTTAAAAATCCACCACTGTGCTTGATGGCATCTAAATGCTACTTTAGTCTGATATAAGCAGTGTTTGCTCTGGAGCAGGTGACGAGTTCAGCCTTTGTTACTGTGGAGATCTAACTGGGCTCAATGAGGTCTTCCTTCATGATACTGAACTCTGACTTTCAGCTCACTGTAGGAGCTAAGCTGCTAATCTGGCTTTGTAGACCAACCTTCAGGTCTTTTCAGAACTGATGAGTTGCATGTTTAGAAGAATTGTCCAAGAACCTTCAGTCTGGTTAACAGATGGCTTTACCATTTCTTTAATTTGAAAGTAGATTTAATCCCTCTTCATCAATCTGTCTTGTTGTCCCTGTTTTTAATGGTTTGGAGAATGAAGGGAAGAATAAATTTTCACTTATGACACTCTCTGCTGTGATTTCCAGCAAAATTTCTGGACACGTTTTCTTTTCAACCATGACTTCCCTTGAGAAATGAACATTTTTATGTGTACTTGTTCCCGGCTTGGACATTCAGGTTCTCGTAGCAGCTTTTCTATGCTTTTATTGACAGTACTACTTCTCTTGTTAAGTTGAAGCATCGTTTCAAATCAAAAGTTTAGAAATCCATGAGAGAAAGATTCACTTTTGAGGTTGACGAATGTCCAAAAATATGACCCAAAATCTCATTAAAGACCATACAAAAAATACACTGCCTGGCCAAAGAAAAGTCGCCACCTGGATTTAACTAAGCAAATAGGTACGAGCCTCCTATTGGATAATTACTGCATGGGCGATTATCTTTCAGCTGCAACAAGTTATTTAACCCCAACTGATGCAATGAGTTGCTTCTCATTTCTTCAACAACCATGTTGAAAGACACATGGTGTGGTCGTGGAAAAGATGTCAGTCTGTTTGAGACGGGTCAAATCATTGGCATCAAGCAGAGAAAACATCTAAGGAGAAGCAGAAACTACTAAAATCAGTTTAAGAACTGTCCAACGCATTATTAAAAACTGGAAGGATAGTGGGGACCCATCGTCTTCAAGGAAGAAATGTGGCCGGAAAAAAATCCTGAATGATTGTGATCGGTGATCACTTAAATGTTTGAAATCAAATGGAAGAAAAACAACAGTAGCACTCAGGCTATGTTTAATAGTGAAAGTAAGAGCATTTCCACACATACAATGTGAAGGGAACTCAAGGAACTGGGACTGAAAAGCTGTGTTTCCTTAAGAAAACCACTAATCAGTGAGGCTAACTGGGGAAAAAACGTCTTCAGTTTGCTAGGGAGCATAAAGATTGGACTCTGGAGCAATGGAAGGAGGTCATGTGGTCTGATGAGTCCAGATTGACCCTGTTCCAGAGTGATGGGTGCATCAGGGTAAGAAGAGAGGCGGGTGAAGTGATGCACCCATCATGTCCAGTACCTACTGTACAAGTCTGTGGGGGCAGTGCTGTGATCTGGGGTTGCTGCAGTTGGTCAGGTCTAGGTTCAGCAACAGTATGTGCTCAAAGAATGAGGTCAGCAGACTACCTGAATATACTGAATGACCAGGTTATTCCATCAGTGGATTTTTTATTCCCTGATGGCACGGGCATATTCCAAGATGGCAATGCCAGGATTCATCGGGCTCAAATTGTGAAAGAGTGGTTCTGGGAGCATGAGACATCATTTTCACACATGGATTGGCCACCACAGAGTCCAGACCCCATTAATCCCATTGAGAATCTTTGGGATGTGTTGGAGAAGGCTTTGCACAGTGGTCAGAATCTGACATCATCAATGCAAGATCTTGGTGAAAAATTAATGCAACACTGGAGGGAAATAGATCTTGTGACATTGCAGAAGCTCATTGAAACAATGCCACAGAGAATGCATGATGTAATCAAAGCTAAAGGTGGTCCAACAAAATATTAGTGTGATCTTTTTTTGGTGGCTACTTTTTTTTTTTTTTTTGCCAGGCAGTGTATGTTACCTGGTAATCCAGATAGAGTCCAGTTTGTAAATGTAATGAATCTTTTTCTTACACCAAAGTTAGTCATGGAGTTCCTCAGCGTTCAGCGCTTGGACCAATACGTACTTTATGCTTCTATTAGGTAAAGTTATTAAACAGCATGGGATAAATTTCCATTGTTATGTTCATGATACTCAGTTATATTTGTTCATAAAACCCAATGACATTGCCATTGGCCTACCATTGTGTGTCTGTTCCTCCTTCCTGTCCTCTCAAACCCAGCCGGTCGAGGCAGATGGCCGGGAGGGAATGCATATACAGTATATGCACGCACCATGCTCTATTCTACTTTATTAATATAGACTTTACTGTTATTGTGAATGATATTACAATGTTTCCTTGATCCTTTCTCTGTATTATCAGCCTTGATGTGACCGTAAGTAAGGAGACAGTGAGGAGATCCTCTTTATTATTCTCAAGGTTTAATTGATATGGTAGACACAGCAATGTCTTCCCAGAGAGTCCTTGAAAGGTGTTTTCATCTTCCGTAACTCCCCACGTTTCTGTGCACATCTGCGTTGATAACAGCTGGACAGTATGGGAGGAGGGGGAGAAAAGTGACACCAGGAGATTCTATAAACTAACAGTTTTACTACAGGAAGCTCAGAATGGGTCAGAACCTCAGACAGGTGAAGGCATTGATCTTCTGTGAGTTGTTGGCTGTTCTCCAAAGCTTTGTAATAAATCTGATGAAGTCTACACCTGATCGTTTGGGAATCTTTTTTTCTACAACAGCAATAAACAGTTTTAAGATTGTTTATGATAATCTTTATTATAAGAAATGTTCAATTTCTGTACTTGTGCTTTTGTAACTTTGAGGTGCTCATTCTCCTTAGACACATACATGTCATATTTCTTGATCCGAACATTTCCAAGACCTTTACTACTTCACAGTTCTTTAGACTTGCTCACATGTTGTTCAGTTTGTTAACGTTTCTTCTTGATTGTGGTCTTAAATTCAGCTGGTGGCCTTTTCACACAGCGTGTTACTTTCTGTAATCACTGCTGAGAGCAAACTCCCACAGACTGGTCCATAAAACCCAATGACATTGCCATTGGCCTGCCATTGTGTCTTCATTCCTCCTTCCTGTCCTCTCAACCTAGCCGGTCGAGGCTAGGTTTGAGGTTTCGTAGCTAGGAAAGATGTGGGTAGCAAGACTATGAATTTGTACTCATTTTTTAGGTGCATAAACACAGAATTAGTTCTACTTTAGCCCTGACACAGGCCATGAAAGATTCCAAACACAAGGTAAGGGATGACTTTGAAAGTGGTTTGTCTGTTTTGAAGGTACCTTCGCTGTAATAAGTCTGATGATCGGGGGTGTTGCAGTGAGGGAAGCCCCAGAACTAACGGAGTCCTTTCAACTCGCTGCCAACGCCTCCAACTCCTCCAACTCCTCCGTGGTGTCCGATGCAGAGGATTTTACTGCTAAGAGGGTCCAGGTGGCTGCGGTGCTCACTACTCTGGTGGGAATCATCCAGGTCAGTGGAATCTGTTTAACTCTAATTGGTGTTTATGCACGTAGGAGACCAGAGACCAGGAGAAATGATAGTCCAACTTTCTCACGCTCAGAAATCACTGTTGATCCAAAGCAGTAGGATGTCTGAATCACTGTTGATGTTTCACATTGATGTGTGTTTTTACTTGAAACTCAGCCTTCTCTATAACCCCTTTAATGTTTACTTCCCTTTCAGATTGTCTTTGGTCTTCTCAGGTTTGGCTTTGTGTCGATCTACCTCACAGAGCCTCTGGTGCGGGGCTTCACCACAGCAGCAGCCTTGCACGTCGTCATCTCCCAGCTCAAGTACTTACTGGGGGTGAAAACGGAGCGTTTCTCTGGGCCCCTCTCTGCCATTTATGTGAGTTTCATGAAGGATTTGGAGGAAAGTCCGTCGTCTTCTCAGTGCAAATCTTTATGACCAGACATGTTTTGAAAACACAACCGTTTTATTTGCATCCGTCTTGTCTTTGCAGTCTGTCAAGGCAGTATTGAGTCAAATCACCAGCACCAATATTACCTGTCTCCTCTTGGGCCTCGCATGCCTCGTGTTCCTGTATGGGGTCAAAGTTCTCAACGAACGCTTTAAGAAGAAGCTGCCAGTACCCATTCCTGGAGAGATTGTTGTGGTCATTGTGTCAACTGGGGTTTCTTTTGGTTTAGCCTTAAAAGAGAAATACAATGTGGACATAGTTGGAAGCATTCCAACAGGGTAAGTGCTTATTTGTTACTTTTTATCTTTTATTCTCAACCTCGGGTGTAAAAGGAACCAACACAGTGTCTCACTTGAAAAATATTGATGAAGTTGGATGTTCCACAAGTGTTTGTTTTCATGTTCTCAGGCTTCGCCCTCCTGCTGTCCCAGACTTCTCTCTGATTTCCAGTTTAATCCCAGATGCTTTTGCTGTAGCGATCGTAGGATTCTCAATGAACATCTCACTAGCTAAAATCTTTGCCCTGAAACACGGCTACAGTGTGGATGGCAACCAGGTGAGTGCGGACATGTGCTTTTATGTAACCTTTAGTTAGTTTCATTGAGTCATGAAGACTCATTTTCAAGAGAGAGCTGTTTTAGACAGACAACAATATACTCAGGTTCCTCAGGTTTATACTTTATATCTCAGGTTTATACTTTATATCTCAGGTTTATACTTTATATTGCACTATTGTTTACTCTGGCCTTGCACATCCATTATCTACCTCTCATCATGTTATTGTCTTCAGTCAGCGTCCCTTTGTCTCCTGTTAGTCACTATTGAGCACGTTGCATCAGAGGTCCTGCTGCTGTTCACTTTTATATTTTTTTATATAACTAGTTGTGTTAGTTTATTTTTGCTAATGTTGTTGTTTGCTGCAATTTGAGTAGGAGTGTAACGCAATTTCAATTTCTATGTATGTCCTGTACATATGCAGAATTGACAATAAAAATCAATCAATCAATCAATCAATCAATATACAACAATAAAAAAGCAATTCAAATAAAAATAGTGTTATAAAAACACTGTTAGCAGCATGGTCATGTTAACAACGTGGTACTGTTAGCAGAATGGTACTATTAGCAGTGTGGCTCTGTTAGCAGCATGTTAGCATTGTGGTCCTGTTAGCAACGTGGTACTGTTAGCAACGTGGTACTGTTATCAGAATGTTCCTGTTAGCAGCGTGGTCCTGTTAGCAGTGTGGTTCTGTTAGCAGCATGATCCTGTTAGCAATATGGTTCTGTTAGCAATGTGGTACTGTTATCAGAATGGTCCTGTTAGCAACATAGTCCTGTTAGCAGCGTGGTCCTTTTAGCAACGTGGTACTGTTATCAGAATGGTCCTGTTAGCAGCGTGGTCCTGTTAGCAGTGTGTTTTTGTTATCAGAATGGACCTGTTAGCAACGTGGTCCTGTTAGCAGTGTGGTCCTGTTAGCAGCGTGGTCCTTTTAGCAGCGTGGTCCTGTTAGCAGCGTGGTCCTGTTAGCAGCATGGTCCCGTCAGCAGCTTGATGATGGTAATGACAGCGACAACAGAAGATGACTGCCCTGAAGAACCGGGTCCGGCAGACACAGAACATCCAAGGTTTCCCCGCGGAACTGAATTGTTCCGTAGAGTTCGTTCTGTGCAGGCAGATGGAGGGTCATGGAGATGGCCGCCATGACAGGCCTGAGCCCGAGGTGGGAATAGGGCCGGAAAGTGGGGTTGTGGTGGAACGAACCGAGCTGCAGATGGACCATGTAGGTCTCAGCAAATTCCTGGTGTACTTGAGTGGCTCGGAGAGCGGCGGGTCGTATAGAACCATCCTGCCGGACCTGTGCACCGTGCCACCCTCCACAGCCGGTCTCTCTTTCTCTGCTCCTCGCAGAAACATTTAGTCACCAGAAACAAAATGTATGACGAGACGCTGAAAGATTACAGCCAACTGTAGCTTGAAATAAAGTGTGCATGCACTTAAATGTGGGGCGGCTGTGGCTGAGTGGTTAGAGCAGTCGTCCTCTAGTTGGGGGTTCGATTCCACCAGCAGTCGCATGTTGAAGTGTCCCTGGGCAAGAAACTGAACCCCTCATTGCCTCCGACGTGTGTCCCATCAGTGTATGACTGTGATAAAGCTCTGGTTATTCTTTGTATAGATCTATTATAGAGCTGTATGAATGGGTAAATGAGGCACAGATTGTTGTGAAGAGCTTTGAGTGTCTTGATCAGACATAAAATGCTTTATAAGTACAGTCCATTTACCATTTAAAGATAAAGTGTTTAATTTTCCATGTACAGTGCTTTTAAGAAAAATATTCACATCCTTTAAACTTTTCCACATTTTCCCATGTTCCAACCACAAACTTCAAAATACTTTTATTAGAATGTCACAAAATGTGGAAGCGTGTAAGGGAATGAATATGTATCAGGACTTAATTATTTGATAAATAAAAAATCAACTTCAGACAATAATAACAACAAAATTTAAAAGTAGTGTTCTCTAGAATTAGGTCTACCTTTACTGCTTTCTTAAGCATGGAGAGACAAACCAATAGTCAGGTGCTGCAGGTAATTTAGTTGTTTTTAAACTTCTGTATTCAGGAGCTGATCGCCCTCGGCCTCTGCAACTTCATAGGCTCCTTCTTCCAAACCTTTGCCATCACTTCCTCCATGTCCAGGAGTCTGGTTCAGGAGAGCACCGGAGGAAAAACTCAGGTGAGTCAAACGCCGCCGCACACAGCTCCTTTGCACAGACAGGTACACCATCTCACTGAACTGAACTGGTGCTGTAAAGCCATAAATGGAAGTTTGTGAGATCATATTTATAAACTTTGTTTGATTATTCAGATTGCAGGGCTGCTGTCGTCACTTGTGGTGCTGCTGGTGGTCGTGGCCATTGGTTATGTCTTCGAGTCGCTCCCTCAGGTGGGTACGGTCATGGAGTTGTCAGGCTTCTTGTGTGACCTCTCAAAGTCACTGCTGAAACTTAGTGTTTTATTATTTTGCTCTGTCTGCGTGACAGTGGAGGACTTCTCTGATTTTGTTTTCCAGACTGCACTAGCAGCCATCATCATGGTCAACCTGATCGGGATGTTCAAGCAGTTCAGAGATCTTCCCATATTGTGGAGGACCACCAAAATCGAGCTGGTCAGTCGATTAATGAAAAGTGTGACTCCAATGAGCGTTCCTTTTGTTTTGTCAGGATTCTGATTGTAAACCGAGCGGGGTTAGGACACGATAATGTGTCTGAGGCGTTTCAACAGCAGTTCCACATGATCTGGATTTGGTCTGAGAGTCGGTGTGGGCTGAAGTCCAGCCCTATTAGCCCAGCTGCTGTTAAATGATCGAGCACCAGTTTCTGACTGATAAAGATCACCTGTCAAACAAGATGCATCTAAAAACCCAGGAAGGCTGTTGACCCACTTCCTGTCAGTGAGTTTTTCTGATCTCTGTGACAACAATATCTTAACGTCACATCTCCACTTTAAGCTCTAATTGGTTTCACTTCTCTGATTAATCTTTGGTTTCCTGTACAAACATGAAATGGAGGATGTTTGTCGTATCTTCAGTAGAAGAGCCTGACACAACTGGATCTGAGAGCCTCGTGCAGGGAGGTTTGGAGATCTGTTGGAGATGATGATGCAGGGAATAAGATCATTTTGTTTAGGAACGTTGGGTTACTTAACGTAACCCCAGTTCTTTGATAACGGAGGGAGGTGTTTCACTATGGGAAATGCTCCAGCGTGACCATCTATGGAAGCTCCAATAACACACGTCTGTCAGAGACGGACTGGTTGAGCTGTGCCCAGGGCTCCGCCCCCATCATGATACCACAGTCAACTGACCACCTCCTACTCATAGTAATACTTTGTCGTAAACTTTTCTATTATTTTATAGCTTACAGTTTGGAGTAGAGAAGTTGTCTGTTTGGTTACCTTAAAAAAAAGTTGTTAAAAATCAAATTTTCAACTTGGTGAGCTCAGAAAAGTTGTACAAGACTGGATGGATAGTCCTGGGAACAGTAAACCAGCTGTTTCCCTTCTTGATGGCTGCATTTGTCTTTGTTACTGGAAACGGTTTAAATAAGATGCTCAATTAAAGAAGACACTCAAGGGAGGAGTCCTTTTTTTTAATTTTTTTTTAAACTCAAGCCAGAAGAAAGAATCTGAAAGTTTCAAACCTGAACTTTGAAGGTGTTTTATAATTTGTCAGATGAAATGTAGTTACTTAAAGTGTCTCCTCACAGCTGTGCAGTTTAATGTTCCTATTTTCTTCTCTCCCCCTCAGATTATCTGGCTGGTGTCCTTTATAGCGTCTGTGCTGTTGGGTCTGGATTATGGTCTCCTAGCAGCTCTCGCGTTTGCCATAATAACTGTCATCTACAGGACACAGAGGTACAGCGAACACACCGCTGCCTTTACGTTGGAATTTACCGTCTTTTGTTCACTGGATCCTGTGGATTGGAAATACCATCCGTCCATGCTGTGGGCATGATATCTTGAAAAATAAGTGACGCATCAACTTCTATTTTGAAAATGTCCCTTCAGAAACTGGGTTGTCATTTAATTCAGCTCAGTTTATTTATGTAGAGCCAAGTTACAACAGAGGTCATCTCAGGACACTGAACATATACATATGTAGGGTAGCCAGCGGATTGTGTTGAGCCTTCATTTCATCACAGTCTCCCACTCTGAGCAAGCCACAAGGCAACAGTGGAAAGGAACAGCTCCCTCATAACAGGAAGAAACCTCCAGCAGAACCGTCAATCCAAGATGGCTGCCGACACATTTGTATACATGCAAATTTTGTGAGAAAGGGGGAGAGAGGGAGGGCCAAGGCCACCACTGTCCACCCCCTGGCTCCGCCACTGTGCCTAGTTGGAAATAAACGGCTCCCTCCACTTTCCAGGATTCATCGCTCAGCGCTGCTTCGAACAAGACTTTAAAAAAAACAACTACGTCTCCTCTTCTCCACCCTGTAACTCCTAAAGTTTATTTCAGCTCCAGTCCAGAAAAGCTTGAAAAACTTGTCTCAAAAACTACAAACATTCACGTTTCTTATTGGTCAGTGATGTCCGTGTACGGCTTGTAGAAGTAGCTGAGAGGATTTCTTATTTCCTTGCAGCCCCAGGAGTTCTATCCTGGGCCACGTCTCCAGCACAGGACTGTATTATGACGTGAACCAGTACGAGGAGGTGAGTTGGAGGTGGGACAGCTTCAACTCAAATCCAGGATCAGCCGTTGGTCTGAACCTTCTGTGTGATTTGTGTTTGTTCCCCAGGCTTCTGAATACGAGGGGATTAAGATTTTCCACTCCAACTCCTCCATCTACTTTGCTAACAGTGACCTGTATGTGACCAAACTCAAGGAGAAGGTAATCCTGTCACTCGTGGAAGTAAAACATGGCCGTCTGTGGGAATGGAGCATTAACAACATTTTTCATGTGGCCGTTGCTGCGAGTCGTGCCGAGAGCCGCAGATGTTTCTGCAGCTGCTAACGGGAAACACGGGGACGTGAAAACAGCCTCGTAGCAGTTTTGGGTTTTTATTTAATGTGTTTACAGACTCTGTGCTTTAACCATTCACAACATTCAACCTTTTCAGGAGACCCATGCTATGATTTTAATTTTTTTTATTTAAGCTTTTGAAAATATTTTCCTTTATTTCCAAACAAACAAGTTCAATACTATCAAAACGTTTTTTCTATTTTCGTCAACAGACCTTTGTTTTTGTTTTCCTTTTAGCTTCTATTGAAGCTTTTGTTACTTTTGGTTTTTAGCTAGCCTTTTTGCAACTTTTAGTCTTTTGATGCTAGTGTTTTTTCAGCCTTTAGCTACTCTTAACTCATTTTAGCTTGTCTTTATAGTTTTAGCTTTAAGATGTTCTCTTACTGCTCTCCACTATTAGCCAGTCTTTTGCTACTTTTAGCTTCCATTTAGCTATTTAGCTAGCCTTTTATATGTTTAGCTTTTATAAAAATGTGAACTTTCATATTGTAGTTATTGTTTTGCTTCTTTTTGGCTTTTACCTAGTGTTTTTCTCTTTGTAGCTTTTAGCTAATGTTCTGCTTGTGAACTTTTTCTAGTCGACTGTTGCATAAAGACACTTTGATGTTATGGACGTTTTTCACACAAAGATGAAGTTGTGTTTTCCACCTGTGATTCTCTCAGACAGGAGTAAACCCAGAGCAGTTGTTAGAAGTGCGGAAAGCCCAAAAAAAGCAGCGGAAAAAGGCAGAACAGGACCTGAACGCTCCACTGAACATTTGTGCTAAGGTGAGTCAGCTGTTTCTCTTCCTGACTGCTTCTGGGGCCTCGTGCACAAAAACATGGCGTACGCCTTTTATCACTTGAAACATCGGATGCATCAAGAATGAAACAACAATATGTGTGCAGCCCCACACCGACTTCATGGCTGGTTTCCTCCAGGTGCTCTGGTTTTCTCCCACAGACCAAAAACATGCATGTTAGGCTGATTAGTAACTCTGAATTGTCTCTAGGTGAGTGAGAGAGTGAATGGTTGTTTGTCTCATTTGTCTCTTATATGTCCCTGTGATGGACTGGAGACCTGTCCAGGTGTCCCCTGCCTCTCACACAGTGATTGCTGGACTTGGGCACCAGTGACCCCCGTGATATGAAAAGGAAGAAGCGGGTAGATCAGGGATACTCACTGCGCGGCTCCCGAGCCACATGCGGCTCGCCATGCTTTATTGGTGGCTCTCGTGACAGGTTACAACAATCCGCCAACACAGCCAGTACATTTTTAAAGCGTGCTGGCGTATCGCACAATAATTGCGCATGTCAGCTCGAGCTTCTTTGATGCGGTTTTACAAATAATATTGTATTAGTCTACTTGTTAAGGAGGAGGCAGGTCCGACCGGCCGGTAGAGGTAAAAAAAAAAAAGTCCTGTTAATCTCAGAGGGATCGGCATCTCCACACCTGCTGTCATCTGCAGTGAAGGAAGTAGGAGCAACTAAGCAGGGCCGGTTCTAGACATGATTACATCAGGGGGCAGATGGAAATGTGAAGGGGGCATCTTCAGGTGGAGGCCTCAACAATCACCTGGATCAAAGACTACCTGACAGACCACAGTTTGTGAGACTGAAGGGTTGTGTGTCTAACCAGGTGGTCAGTAGCTCAGGAGCACCACAGGGGACTGTACTCTCACCGTTCCTTTTCACTCTGTACACCTCAGATATCCAGTACAAAACAGACTCCTGTCATCTGCAGAAATATTCAGATGACTCTGCAGTGGTCAGGTGTATCAGAGATGGACAAGAAGCTGAGTACAGGAAACTGGTGGACCACTTTGTGGCATGGTGTGGAAACAATCATCTCATCTTGAATGCGAACAAAACAAAGGAGATGATTGTAGATTTCAGGAGAAACAGGAAAAGGTCCAACCCTATTTCCATCATGGGAGAAGAAGTGGAGGTGGTGGAGAAGTATAAATACCTTGGGGTTCACCTGGACAACAGACTGGACTGGAAATGCAACAGTGAAGTGTCTACAAGAAGGGACAGAGGAGACTGTTCTTCTTGAGGAAGATGAAGTCCTTCAACGTTTGTAGCAAGATGATGCATATCTTCTATAAGTCTGTTGTAGAGAGCGCCATCTCTTCTGCCATCATCTGCTGGGGGAGCAGCACCAGAGCAAGAGACTTAAAAAAAGATCAACAAGCTCATAAAGAAGGCTGGCTCAGTTCTGGGGACTCCTCTAGAACCTTTGGAGATGATTGTTCAAAGAAGGATTCTTCATAAAATGAAGAACATTATAGACAACCCTCAGCATTCTCTTCATCAGACTGTCATACAACAACAGACTATCATACAACAACAGAGTGTCATACAACAACAGAGTGTCATACAACATCAGACTGTCATACAACAACAGAGTGTCTTCAGTCAGAGGCTTCTTCAGAGCTGCTGTAAGACAGACCGCTACAAGAGATCCTTCCTGCCCACAGCCATCAGCATCTAGAACAACTCTTTAATGGAACCAGGATGATGAGATACAACATTTAATTTCCCTCAGGGATTAATAAAGTATTTTTGAATTTGAATTCATCCGTACACATATTACTTTATAATTTTCTTTCCTCTCTGTGCTCCGGTGAAGTCAGACGTGTCTCCTGGTGCCCCTTCCCCCCCTTTTTTCTGCGTACCTCCTAATTCGAAAGATCAGCTGGTCTCTCAACAAAATTGATCCACTTCTCCCGACAGGAGTCAGAGTAAGGAGGACCCTCGACAGAAACAAATTGGATTCATGATGACAACTGGTTATTTTGATGTTTGGCTGGTGAAATCTGGATTGTCTATAAATTCATGTGAATGTGTCGAAGCTCGGCAGCACTCAGACTGAATTATGTGCAGTTGTGTCAGAGAGCTGGAGCAGCTGTTATCAGGACTGTGAACTTCCTGGCAGCACACATGAAGGTGGGAATAATCTGGAGAAGCTGTGAGCTCGACTTTTAATGTAAACAATCAATTTGGCTGTTTGGAGTTTCCATCAGAGGAATATACCAGTGAGACTTTAAAAAGGCAGAAACAACAATTCATGAGTTCTGCCTGACCCAAACTGTGGCGTTGAAGCCGGACTTATCTCAACTCCTCCTGGCAGGTTTTGAAAACAACAAAGATGCTTTGTCTGTCTCCTCACCACTCCCTCCCCCAAGGCCGTGGACATGTGACAGAACCTCAACTGAGCTGAAGATGAACGTCACCTCTTATCTGGACAATGGCTGGGGGGGGGGGGGGGGGGGTCTGGACTATGTTACGACTTTCCCTTAAAAATTCAGTGTTTTCACTGCCTATATGTTCATGTATAACATGTTTATGTTGCTTTGCTGTGGTAGGTTTTTTTGATGCCTCAAATCGTGCCTTGTCTAGGACACGGAGTGAGAGATCTTTTTTTTATACCGTCTCTCCTCATGTTTGCTTCCCTTTTCTTATCTAAGCAAAAATATTATTCTGAATAAGAATAAAAGGGCCGCACTATTTATAGTTGCAGCTTGGTGCACTCTGCTCATCTTTTGGACGACTGTACCTACATGTTCTCGTTGTATCTCGGTGCATTGATAATAAAGTTTATTCTGATTCTTCTGATTCTCTTACAGCATGTTCATGCTGAGCATGGACTTCGATATTCATTGTTATTGTTGACTTGTGTTTTCTTCATGGGACTGGGGTAATGGCTAAAAGCTGAAACTGTTACACCTGTGAGTCAACATTTTCAACCATGAACACTATGAAGCAAAAACAGAGAAACCCACTGACCCATGTCCATCTTGAACGTGTCACTGTGGCTGCAACTACAAATACAACATGAAGACCGTCAAGAACATGCAGCACATCTTCTCATGTCAGGACTACTGTACATTTTGTTTAAACACATAATGTGCTGGCTGTGATTCTTTTCTGTTCATAGGTGGGCTGTTTCATTTGCCTGGAAAAGTTATAAAATAAAGAAGCTTCAAATGAGCTTCGTCTTGCAGCTGTTGCTCAACTTTTTACTGTCGATTCTAGTCCAAGGACAAGACGATGACCCACGAGGTTTCACCTCCGAGTCAGGAGGTGCAGGAGCAGAGGAACGGCGAAGTGGAAGACAAGCGCAGCGAGTCCCCGTCTGAGGAGGCCGTGTTCCTGGAGCCTCTCAGCCCCGTTCACACCATCATCCTGGACTGGAGCGCCGCCAGCTTCATCGACTCTGTGGGAGCCAAAGCCGTCAAACAGGTTTTTATAGTTTTCTCAGTGACTTGCAGGTTTCGTTCTTCTTCCAGTTTGTGCTGCAGTGTCCATGAAGGGCATGTTTAGATGCAGTATTAGTTACACTAAGCCTTGTTTCTGCAGGTCATAAAGGTTTACGCTGCAGTGGACATTCAGGTGCTCATAGCCGGCTGCAACAGTAAGGAGCCGCACGCTCAAACTTTAAACATTAATCCCATTAACACAAAACGATTCAGCTTTTTGATTCCTTTTTTTGTAAAGTCAGTTTGTTTTAGGAATTTTTTTGGTCCGTTTGTGCTCTCATGCTGCGTTGCCATGGAGATCGGCTATGACATGACAGCTTTTTAAACTTGTTTTTGCAAACAAACTCCAGCTTTTTTTTTTTTTTTTACTAATGATGCACGTTCTATATCAAACTGTGGCCATCTTGTTCAGCTTCCACTCAGTGGATCTCCTGCTGAGCTGTCTCTCAGACCCCTCAGAGGACGGAGCTCTGACTCTTCTGGCTGAAACGTTCACTCCTCATATCTCCCACAGAAAACGCTGCACAGTTAAATGTGCCTCACCTGAGCCTTCTGCAGCTCAGCTGGACTTGTGATGGTCTGTTTACTTTAGAGGCAGAAAGAAAAGAAACACCTGCTGTTGCCTTGTGGCAAAAACAATAACTTTGTTTTAGTGTTTCCACGTTAGTTAATTCTACGTACTGTACGTAGCTCTGTCTTCTGTTTCCTCTGGCATCCATTTTGTTTCCATGCAAACTTTCTCTTCACTTCCTTTTTACTGCTTTAGCTTTTTTTCCCCTTAGGCATCGTTCGTCTTTTTTTTGTGTCTCCTTTTGTTTTTCAGCTTTTTTTAATCCTTCTACTCTTTTGTCCTGTTTGTATTTTATATTTCACGTAACACTGAAGCTTCATTTATTACCTAACTTTCTCATTCTCGTGCCGATTCCAACAGTTTGCAGCTATTTTTCTGTTAAAACTTCAGTTCGTCCAAAACGTTCAGCTGAACTTGACTAATATTTCAGATGAGCTCCAGCTTCAGCTGATTATTTTAGTTGGTTCTAAAAATGGAAGCCTGTAATAATGTGAACACGTTTGCTTCTTCAAGGGAACCTTCTGGATGAGCTGGACACCTTGCAGTTTTTCACAGACGACGTGAACCTCGGCATGGTGTTCCCCACGGTTCATGACGCGGTGCTGCACTGCCGGCGCGCTGGATCAAGCCCGCCTGCAGCTCCAGATGAAGCGTGATCCCGGCGGGGCCACCACCTGAGCAACAGCCTGCCTGTAGCAACAGAGGACTCGTCTCCGTGTTGTTGAAGCTTTACAGCTGAGAGGAACTGAGCACTCGTTCATATTGAACTGGAGTCATTTTAGCACAGCTAGAGCCGTTTTTCTTTTTCTACTCCAAACAGCTCAGACATCTCACAATCCTCCAAACCACAGAGTTGAAGTGTTCAGAGGTTTGCATCGTTTCAAAACCTGCCTCCTCTTAGCGGTCCTCAAAAAGAACGGAGTATTAAAGTTGCACTTTTTTTGTACTTCTGGAGATCGTCAAGCTGCTGCAGCTCGTCTGGACGACACGGGAATCGTTTGTGGCGTCACAGTTTCTGATCATCTCATGCTGGTACACGTTGTCCCAGGTTACGTATCGTGAATGTATTTTATTCAGAACTGGCTAAATGTTACTGTGTATTTAAGTCAGAGACGATCAATTTATTTTCTAGTGTCATCTGTAAATGCTGTTTGAGAGCCAAAATAAAATTTTGGGATATTTTCATGCAAATACTAACATTTAAATGTGTATTTAAAAAAAAAATCACAGACTTGTATTTGGAATAAACTTTATTTTTAGGTGAACAAGTGGAAAACGAGCCATTTGTTGGACTTTTTCTTCGACAGTGAAACTCAAACACTCAGTTGTAGGTCATGTATCTGGGGGTGGCGCTGAACTTGGCGTAGGATTTGATGACCTTGTTTACAGCCTCCAGGAAGTCCTTCTCTGTGGCGATCTTCCTACGAGCCCTGATGGCAAACATACCCGCCTCTGTGCACACACTGCGGATCTCAGCGCCTGACAGAAAACACCTTTATTCAACAACCAGTCTGTTCATACAGTAACATTATGTGAGAACTGCACAAAAAACCCTCAGGTGCCTTGTTGCTGGCTCTCTGAATACACGAGTGTAGCTGCAGGGTGCAGCAGTTTATTAGTTTTAGAAAATCATCACTAACTCTTCCAACTACCACTACTTTATATACTGTAGTTTTCCAACTACAAGGTGCACTTCAAATCCTTTCATTTTCTAAAAAAAATCAACAGTGAGCCTTATAATCTGAAAACTATGGTATATAAACAGTTTGAACAAAACAGCACATTTTGGTTGATTTTCATTGCAACAATACATCTTGTACAGTAAGTTTGTTCATTTCTCCTTGAATGGCACCACATTTATGAAAAACTGTTTTTGGGTTGAGCCTCCATGAAAAACTTGCAGATCTTTTCTGACGAGGACAAACAGCTCATTATCGACTCCGGTTTTGTGTCATTAATTAGGTTGGATGGCTGAGATCTAAAAAGACGAGACATACTGGCAATTTAACAATTTATTTTAACAAACCGGGGCCTAAGTAGCATGTGGAAGAACCATACACAGCCACAATGCCCTTGGGAACGCACTGCTGTAGGACGGCATCCCATTCATTCTAATGAAAATGTGACCAGTAGGTGTTATGTTTGGGATTGTCCCCAGAGGCGTATTCAGCCTCTAAGATCTTGGGGTTTAACGGAAGTTTTCATTTTTAGAGCAACAGAATGTAAATGCTGCACTCGCGCTTGCTAGGTGCCACACGTGTCGACATGCACCGGTGGTCATGAGCCCCCAACGATGACGATTTCTTGTTCGGCTGATCTCAGCGTGGAGTTTGCACTGCACAGAAGTTTAAAACTGGCTAAAGTTTTGCTCGTTGTCTTCGTCTAGCTCGTTTTCCCTCAAATTACCTCGAATGACCAAACATTTTATCAGCACCTTTCAAATAATACGCCCAAGAAAGCAGAACTGTGATCATTAGCATTAGTTCCTGTTTCACATCGGTTCTTCTGAAATCTGTGTTGGTCACGTGACCCATGAGAATTAAACTCCAGTGGCCACAAGCTGCACTACGCTACAAGAGAAAAGTAAAGAAGGACGAGGCTCCTCTTTGATGAAGAGCTGTTTGATGGTGGGAGGTGTCCCCGTGGACTAAAAGTTGTGCAACATAGACAAACAAATCACCTGCTGTTTCACACAGAGTCTGTATTTGATCATATACAGGTAAGACACTGACTATTCATCCCATTTGGATCTAAGAAGTAAAACTTTTGTTTTGACAAAGGACCGGAGAAAAACTGCGAGTCTTACCGGTGCTGTTGGGACAGAGACGAGCCAGAAGCTCAAATCGAATGTCCCTCTCCACACTCATGGAGCGGGCGTGGATCTTAAATATGTGGGTCCGACCCTGCGACACAACACAAAACATTTTTAAACGTTATTAATCTAAGCACTAAACGATAAATACAAACACATGAGGACAATAAACCAGCTTTATGAACCACCACTTGAAATATTCTGATGAATTTATAAAATGACCTCTAGATCAGGCAGGCTGAACTCGATCTTCCTGTCCAGACGTCCTGGTCGCATCAGGGCCGGGTCCAGAGTGTCGGGTCTGTTGGTGGCCATCAGCACTTTGATGTTGCCTCGAGGGTCAAAGCCATCAAGCTGGTTGATGAGCTCCAGCATGGTCCTCTGGACTTCGTTGTCGCCACCAGCACCGTCGTCAAAACGAGCACCTGGCAAGTTCAACAAACAGGCGGAATAATAAATAAATATATTTATTTTTTCTGTCCCAATAAAAGGCAAACACTGAGCACATGACATGAGAACTTAATGACTACTTTTGAAAGACAACACAAAGACGTTCTAGGCAGGAAGTCGTACCCCCAATAGCATCGATTTCATCAAAGAAGATCAGACAGGCCTTCTTCGTCCTGGCCATCTCGAACAGCTCCCGCACCATCCTGGCCCCCTATGAACACGAAGAACCAGACACAGACTCTTAATGTAGACCACTACTCCAAACATGAACTCAAGCCTTTCACTAGAGAGCTCACCTCGCCCACATACTTCTGCACCAGCTCAGAGCCGATGACTCTGATGAAGCAGGCGTCGGTTCGGTTGGCCACCGCCCGGGCGCACAACGTCTTTCCAGTGCCAGGGGGCCCAAACAGCAGCACACCTTTAGGGGGCTCAATACCCAGATTGACAAATCTCTCAGGCTGGTGAAAAGAACAAATACAAATCATTAAAAAACACAGTTTAAGTACACAAGCAAATAAGAAAATTGAGATTTTAAACAAAAACTAATGAGCAGCTTTGATTTTATTGTATTTTAAGAACCGTGCTAGTTTGGTACGTAGCCTAAAGCCGTCACTGTTAACTGGCTTTCATCTTACCTAAAAAAGGACTTTTTATGTTTCTAATCTAGAGTTTTCAATCAGCAGAACCAAAAATGCACTTTGGGGTTCCACAAGGATCAGTTCTCGATCCTCCTTTCTTGGACCTATTCTTCTGCCTAGTTCTTATATTTTATTTTCCTATGAAGTTCCATCAATTTATTAGTTAACAGCATGAGTCAAAGTTACTGCAAGATGTCCAGAAACTTCTTGTAGAAGTGTAACAGCATGTCTATGTCACAGTAGGGTATTGTACAGACCTACATATTTAAAGATTTATTAACCTTTATTTAACCAGACAAATCCCACTGAGATCATAGATCTCTTGACGGGGAGTCCTGGGCCTGAAGGCAGCCGGACATGCACATTTTTGGACTAACAGCATGTTTTTAGAATATGAGGGTCATGGTTTGGTACAGCAGCAAAGAAGAACAAATAGAAGTTTGTTTAAAAACATTAACAGACAATAATACTCTCAGCAGGAAAGACATAAAGCCCACCCTTATAAGTGTGGCTGGTCTAAGGCAGTGGTTCCCAATCCTGGTCCTTGAGGAACACCATCCTGCATGTTTTTGTTGTTTCCTGCTTTGACACACCTGATTTGAATGGATGGGTTATTAACAGGCTTCTGCAGAACCCGAGGAAGTAATTAAATTTCTGTATCAGGTGTGTTGTACCAGGAGAACAATTAAAACATGCAGGATGGTGTTCCTCAGGGATCAGGGTTGGGAACTAGCCATGTACAGCAAAGTAGGATATGTCAGTCAACAAGGTCAGCATAAAATAAAGTCACATTTTTCTTTTTCATCCAGTTTCAACTACACACAGGCCATGTGTCAAATGATAAATATTGATAAACTCCAGAAAGTTATACGTCTTTAAAAATATTACTAACATAATTAGAACCTTTTCCAATGTTAAAATGTGAAACTCACACTTGGCTTTTCAGACAGTGAGTGCTTGTGTGGCAAAACTCACTCTTCACATCAGAGATATGGAAAAAATATGCAAATGAATCAACTAAATGTTGATTACATGACACATCTGCTTGCCATAAAACACCCCTCAATCCTCTCAGCAGCAGCTGGAGTTTCCTCCACACATTAACCAAAAGGCAGGTCTTTAAGCTTCTCTGCTCACGTTGCTGTAGAGTACTTGGGACAGTATTTTCCTCGGCTTCTTTTCTAGTCTTCACCCCTACTTTCTAAGATGGAGACCAAACTAAGATACTTAGACAAGACAGTTATTCACCCGTAGCGTAGGCTTCTCTGAAACAGCACGACACAGAAATCTTGGAATCCTCTTGAAGAACTGTTTCACTTTGGAAAGCTTCACAAACATCTTTCTATTGCTTCAAAATCTTAAATATCAAGATGGTTTGAATAATTTCAGACCAGATCATTTTATTACACTCCGACGTGGCATTTGTTTCAAAATCATCGTGTGTATTTCTTAATAAAGCTATAAATCCTACAGACACTTTCAATCTTTAGACGTTTCAGTGATGCTTTTTAAGTTTTTGACTGGACCTTAATTTGCGAACTAAGTAAACGTGCTAGAAAAAGAAAATGTTTCTACCATGAGACAAGGAGGACGTGTTTTATTTTATGGCGACTGTCAACACTCACATGGAGCAACGGAGTCTCGACCACCTCTCTCAGCTTCTCAATCTGCTCCTTACAACCACCGACATCACTGTAAGTCACATCCGGCTTCTCCTCCACCTGCAGAACACAGAAAACAAAAAGCAGTCACTAAAAGTACAATTGTTTCACTACTAATTGCTGCTGCCTCAAATATATGACGCATGGCACTGACCACCGAGCTACCAGTGTCACATTTACTTCTAAACGTTTGTCCTTAAAACCTATACTTTTCATGAACAAGTCAATCACTATTTCAAACTTTATGCAGGAGTTCTCGTGCACACCTGCATCATTGTGACGGTGGGATCAATTTTGGGAGGCAGGGGGATGTGGATCTGATATTTGTTCCTGTCAACTCTGGAAAAAAACAGACCAAATGTAGCCGATTTAGATTTTTTTCAAACATTGTACATTAGCCTTGTCGTGACGTGGAACAGTTTAAATGTTGCAGCTGCCCCACCCGACTCTCATGCCCTCCTCGATGTCAGTCGGAGCCACCTGGTCACTCAGGTCCACCACAAACTTAGCAAACTGTTTGACGTTTATGATATATTTTGGATCTTCCGAGTCTGCATTGATGATCTTCGTGCATCTATTTAAAGAACAAGTGAAAGTTGAGACAAGGAGCAAAGAAAACATTTATCTGCAAGTATATTTTATCATGCTACAATACGCTTTACTTAGTAACAGCATGAATGTTACATTTGTTTTTAATACAAAATAATAACAGAAAAATCAATAATGAATTTGTAAAAAAAACTTTATTCTTCACCAGAACAACTAACACTACAGACAAACGCACAGGAAAAAACATTATTGTCGCTACATCTTTGGGGAATAGTACGTATTAATTTTACTGCTCAGAGAGAGAAACACAGCAAAAATACATTTCTCTCAATGTGGAGTTTGTTGTTTATTAACAAAGTTAAAAATACCCACCTCACTTCAAAGCACAGTCCACATACGTAGAATATAATGTGATTATCTGGAGTAAGAGTAACTAATCCTAACAAGATAAAAATCCTAACAAGATAAAAATACTGCCAGACAGTATAATAACAGCTACACTTGACAAGTGAAGTCAGGTTTTCTAATTGTGGAAATGGGCACAGTCACGTAAAAAAGTTGGAGTTAACACCACATGACATCAATAAAGCACATGTAGCAATAACTTAGTAAAACTGTGCGTTTTAATAAATCAAAGCACTGCATTTGTATTCTTGAGACAAGTGAGGAATTCCAAGTTTAATTCCTTTAAATGTATTTCTAGTTGTTTTTAAAAACCGCACTACATAAAGAACATAAAAATGTTATTGGTATATATACCGTATTTTCCACCGTACACGTTGCACCGCCCTATATGTTGCATCAGTCCAAATACGTCTAATAAAGTGGAAAAATCCATAAATATGTTGTTTCATCGTATACGTTGCCTCCATTATGCGTCACCGCTGATAACCCGGAAAAGTGGGACGGTGTTGTGCCAAAAATTGATTGGCTGCCAAATGGCGGCCGCGGGAGCGTGTCCGGGAGGACTTTAACAAGATTAAAACTTAAAAACAATTATTTATTTGCTCAAAATTATAGTAAAGGTGTGTCTCAGTTGAACTTTTACTTAATAAATGCACTTAATGGTCAAATTAGCTGCATTTTCAAAAGCCGAACGTGGAAACATTGCCCATTTCTTTGAAATTTAACAAGATAACCACCAAAAAACAATTATTTGTTTGCTCGACTTTATAGCAAAGATGTCTGAGTTGAACTTTTACTTAATAAATGCACTTCAATGGTCAAATCAGCTGCATTTCGCCGGGCGGTGCAGCGAAATCAAGCTGACTGACGGTTCCCCCAGGCAGACGACAGTGGCAGGTTATGGCAAGCCCATTGTGTCATTAATAGCCACTTTTACCTATTACATGACACAACGGTATGCCATACAACTCAAGTGTCATCTACCGGCTGAAAATGGTAGTGTTCAATATTTTCAGTCGGAATGAATGAAAACGGTCAGATCTCAGACAAAAACTGGTTTATAAATATGGAAAAAATCCATAAATACATCGCTTTGGCGTATAAGTCACCGGGCAGGCAAATTATGCAAAAAAAAACTGCGACTTATAGGGCGAAAAATACGGTAGGAACTTGATGAAAACTGGCTAGAAGAGGGAGAGGAGTAAATAGTCATATGACCACAGTATGCAAAGTATTTACCTTGCTACCTGCAGCGGCTGCTCGCTCTGCAGAGTCTGCTTATCAGCAGCCAGATCCCAGAGCGCCGGTGGAGCCAAGCCTGTGTCCGACTCCTTGATGCCTGTCAAAAGAGAACATTACAATCACTGTTTCGCTCACAGCTCCCAACAACAAGTTAAATACACCAAAGTCAAAACTGTTTTTCCACTGGAGTGTTTGTGGTGTCAGAGCAGACCTGTCAGCTCGTTGATCTTTTTGAGAAGTTGCTGAATATCATCTTCCACCTGTTTGATCTGCCTGGAGTAGGTGCTTTGACCCTGGCGAAAGAGACAGGATGCATCAAAATGGGACTAATTCCGATGAAAACTTAGATTTGGTAGTTTAATCCCCCTAAAGGCACAATCAGATGGCGTTTTGTCGTGTAATACTTACGTATGTTTTGAGCAGAGCGATGTCCCCTTCATCCAGAGCTGTGAGGAAATTAAAAACATGAACGAGTTGCTAGCACTGCCAGTAGTTTGTGTGTTGATACTGCAGAATATTTAGCGTTAAATATTTAACATTTATACACATAACTATTTCAAAAGTTTACAATACGAGATGACTTTAGCGACGGATGAAATACATTGTCTGCTAAGAAGCTAAGCTAATACCGGCTAATAAGTAGCTAGTAATGCTAACTGACGCTTCCTTAAAAAGTCGGACATCATATTTTTGTAATTAATAAACCTCTGATAGGTGCGTCTTCCTTCTCGTCTTCTTTAACCTTTCTTTGTTCGTCTCCCAAGTAGTCCGGCATCTTTAATGAATGTCTAAAGTGTGTTGACACGAAGACGCTGAGCTGCTAACCTGTACAATTACACAGCAGCTTTAGAGTTCCGGTTCTTAACGGAAGTGTTAGTCGGAATGATTTGGAAGACGTCCTCGCAGAAGAACGTTGGGACATTTTTTTTAATAATAGAAAAGTTAATACTACTATTATTCTGTTTTAGTATTATAAACCCAAATTATTTATTTTGTTTTAAACTATATCACTTAGATAAAAAAAACAGAGAAATATTAAAAACAGCCAGCGGTGGAACTGTGGACGCGGAACCATCCAAGCCCTCCGCAGGGGACGCCGCTGAGTGCGTTCTCGGATTGGCACTGGCAAAGGGAGGCCCATGTGGAGCGTCAATGAGCGGGCTGTGACCTGAAACGCTTTAGCAAGCTTCCACTTGATAATTTTGTCCTGTGAATGGTTATTTGCACATTTTTTCCAGAATGCTGCTAGAAGCTAAGGACGGTGAAGAGACGGTCGTGTTTAAAGCGGCTGCCGGTAAGCAGCGACACACACTGAGGCCAGAAGACCAAGCTAGCAGAACCACTGCTGTTGTACTTATTAGCATTTAAAACATACAGAAACCATTTAAATAATCTTGAAGGGTAATTGTACACTGTAAAACATCCTATTCGTTTCAAATATTACCTGTTATGTATGACTTGACTTAGAGGTAAATAATTTACCATTAAATTTATACTCGCCCATAATTGTTTTAGCGATTTATTTATGATCTTAAACGACACAAACTAGCTGTCACCTCTTAAAGTTTACACAGTTGACATTTCACACGTTAAATTACATGTGACTGAACACTTGAGTAAAGTCCAAGTTTTGATCTGTTACTGTTTTGTCTTTTAAATTGAAAATAAAGTGGTATTTTTTTACAAGACAGCTGATTTGCAGCATCTACCAACCTGCAGCTCTTGTGGTATGTTCCTACTGGTGTGCAGAGGCCAGGTCCTACAGTGATCTAGGAACAAAGGAAAACTGGTCAAGCCCGTTACGCCCAAGGTGGGCTCTGGGTACATTTCTACATTCGCTGCTTTGTAATTTAGCTGTTTTAGTCAATTCACACCTGTTGAGGTTCTCCTTAGGAGTGACAATAAGATTAGGAATGAGATCATCAGAGGTACAGCACAGGTTGAACAACTGGGAGATCAGACCGAGATGGTTTGGACATGTCCAGAGGAGGGACAGTGGGTAGGAAAAGAGGAGATGCAGTTAGAGAGGACATGGAGGTAGTTGGAGAGAGGACAGAGTGAGGTGGAGGAGGATGACTCGCTGTGGAGACCCCTGAAGAGGGAAACGCTGAAAGAAGAAGAAGGTCACTTCACACCAGTACTTTTTGGGATGTGTAAACAAACTGCCTGTCATGGGTCTCTTTGTACTCAGCCTGCTTTGTACCTACTTACCATGGCAGATGTCCCAGCATCAGTGATTAAATCTACTGAAGTATAATTCTTAATACTGTACCTTTAAGAACAGGTTGATGTTGCCATATGCCTGCTTATACTTAAACCCCTAGCCGCTAATTTTAAACTCTGAAGTCGATCTCTGACCCTAATTTTATCTTTGGACCTTTGGCTCCAATTGCCGAGACATCCATCCATTTATTTTTTTTGTCCTAGTTATCCGTGATCAGGTTATGGAGGCAACAGATCCTGCGGGGAGACCCAGGCATCCCTTCTTGGATGATTGCAAGACTAGAAAGGATATGCACAATTCCTTCAGTGAGTTCTGGGAATGCACTGGGGTCTCCTCCCTGTTGGACATGCCTGGAAAACCTCCAGAGGGAGGTGCCCGGGAGGCATCGTTATCAACTGGATCCACCTCCTTTTAGAACCGTGGACCCAGAGAAGCGGACTCCAAAAGTCTGAATGATTTATTTTATAATGCAAGTATGTCTGGGTAACGGTGCAACAGCAAGTACTGTGAGGGGAAAGAGCAAGTCTGTGAGAGCTTTGAACAAAGTTGAGCCTTGAATTGTTTGGTCCTGGCGTTCATCTGGACGTTACTTTCACATGTATTGTTTTTCTAAACATCGTTCTTCACCAAGTACTTGATGTAAGTTACAGAGCTGTCCCAAACCTTCATGCTGCTTCTACTGGACCACAAACTGTGAAGAAAGTCTCATTCTTCATTCATCATAAACTATGTTCTTCTCAGACAATTGGAAGTTAGTTGCCAACAGGAAACGACAAAATCAAAACCCATCCGAAGCAGCGTATAGACTTTGTGTTGATGCAGGGATATGTCCTCGTAGCACAATGGTTTTCTCTGGTGAATTCAATATCAGTGGCTTTTTTGTATTTAACTACAACCTGGAGAAATTGTAAATGGACTGTACTTATACAGCTCCTTTCGCTCTAATCAAGACACTCAAAGCTCTTTACTACACAATGTGTGCCTCATTTATCACATTCCTACACCGATGGGACACACATCAGAGAAAATGAGGGGTTCAGTGTCTTGCCCAGGGACACTTCAGCATGTGACTGCTGGTGGAATCGAACCCCCAACTCTCCCATTGGAGGACGACTGCTCTAACCACTCAGCCACAGCCGCCCCACAAACCTCTGAGCACATTTTTGGACAAAGTTAAAATAAGTGTAGATGATGCCAAGTGTTAGTCATGGTAACTTGTTACAGAGAAATGGTTACATCTGTAGGACAGAGGTTTATTACAGGACACTATAGTTCATGTATTATCTTTAATATAGAGGGAAAAAATGGAGTGACCAAAATACTTTTCATTTTAAAGAACTAATTGGTATAAAATGTCTTTATTTCAAAATGCTTGTCAGACTGAGCTTTGCTGTCGTCCACAGCATCTGTGCAGGTTCTGGTGGAGCCCGTGGGCCGCTGGTTTGAGGCGTACATTCGGAGGAGAAACAGGAACTTGTCGGCCTCGTTTCAAGAACTGGAAGAGGAAGAGGAGTCGTCAGAGGATGAGGAGGATGAGGAACTTCAGCTTGAGGAGCACCCCATGCTCCGAACTCTTGACCCTAAAGATTGGAAGGTATCTGAGAGAGAAGTTTAAAATATTTTGTAGTTTTCTCGTTTCATTCATGTTTTTTTTTAATCGTCGAAAGGCAGACGTGTCATGGTGTAGCCCGAGTCCATCTGTCCGTCTGTAAACTTTGTCTTGTCTCGCCTTTAACTTCTGATCCGCTCAAGATAATTGAACATAACTTTACACACATGCATCGTCACCAGACGGACTGTCATACATTTTTCATCGCCTCAGCTTTAAGGTCAAGGTCACAAATCAAGGTCAACGGTTATACAAGGTCTTTGCTTGTCTGGGCCATTGCTAGGGCTGGGCGATGTATCGATATTTAAAAAGTATCAATATAATTTAATTCACAATATAAAACAAACCTATATTGATGTAAAACAATATAGTCAAGTCGTCAGATTTATTTATAGAGCACATTTAAAACAGGAACTGTTACCAAAGTGCTTAACAAAAATATCACATCATCAAATGAAAAGTAGCAAGATATATTTACAGCACATGGAATAAAAATATAAAACCAAAAACATAATTAGAAACAATGAAATACTAAATCAGATCACGTTGTGTCAAAAGTCAAGGAAATAATAACAAAAAGCATAAACTCAGTCAGAAACAATGAAATACTAAATCAGGTCAGATGACCTTGTGTTAAATAGGAATAATAATAAAAGCATAAACAGAATCAGCATCAATGAAAAACTAGATCTAAAGCTGATCACCCTGTGTTAAATGTCAGTGAGTACAGATGTGTCAGTGAGTACAGGTGTGTTTTTAGGAGAGATTTAAAGGCAGAGACTGAGGTGTCCTGTCGAATGTTGATGGGCAGATTGTTCCAAAGTTTAGGGCCCACGACTGAGAACGCTCGATCTCCTCTGAGCTTCAGCTGGTTTTTGGTACGGCCAAAAGCAGCTGGTCTGATGATCTCAAAGCCCGAGAAGGAGTATAAGGATGAAGAAGGTCAGAGAGGTATGATGGTGCAAGGCCGTTAATGCACTTGAAAGTCAGCAGGAGAATTTTAAAATCAACTGTGACACGTACAGGAAGCCAGTGAAGAGAGGACAGAACCAGAGTAATGTGCTCAAACCTGTGAGTTCCTGTTAAAAGCCGAGCTGCAGCATTTTGTACGAGCTGGAGACGTGAAAGTGAAGCCTGACTAACCCCAACATAAAGTGAGCTAGAGTTTGATTAAAGTGGACTAAACAGGGCTGGTGTGAATGCACCCTAAGAAGCAGATCAAGGTTCTGGAGTGGCCTAGCCAGTCTCCAGACCTAAAACCTATAGAAAATCTTTGGAGGGAGCTCAGACTCCGTGTTTCTCAGCGACAGCCCAGAAACCTGGATGATCTAGAGAAGATCTGTGGAGGAATGGATCAAAATCTCTGCTGCAGTGAACCTGGTGAAACACTACAGGAAACATTTGACCTCTGTAACTGCAAACAAAGACTACTGTACCAAATATTAACACTGATTTTCACAGGTGTTCAAATACTTACTTTCCTCTCTGTATATATATATTTTTTTCTTTCCATAAAGTAATAACAAAAATATATTTCTGAGTCAAAGCTTTGTCCCAGTTGTCACAGCTTAACAAAGCTGTAACTGCACAGAACAAATGTCTCAAAAATAAAAGTTTTTTTGTCTTGCATAACAAAAGCTGAAACACAGCTGTGCACTTATAATTTATACAGAAAACATACAGAGCAAATATAATGAAAAGTTGCTATTTGCTCTTTAAAACGTCTGATTCTAATGACGTATATTCATTAACCTTTATTATTCTTTATTAACAAACTGTTAGAAAGCCCACATTGTTGGCTTCTTTACTGACCTCGGTTCTGTTTGGTTAGGGCTAATTTTTTTCTTCTGAATTTCATAGTTCCTATGCTCTTGAATGCACCATGGCTGTTCAGACGCTAGTGAGAACACACCGCTCTGTAAAGTGCAGAGCTCAGTTGGAGGTTTTTTCTCTCTCTCTTGACATGGACGGAGTGTTGTTGTTCAAGATTGTTTGTGCTTTACTGGATTAATCACCCTAAACTGGATATTTGTCTCCGTGTTCTTTAATGGGAAGACAACTTCACACCAGTTCATTTCCTTTAGAACACCAAACCTCTCCTTTGTAGCAGCTACCGTCATTTTCACACCGATCAGGAATTTAAAGTGGCTCTTCCACTGCGAGTCAACAAAGACGTATGTGCAGATGCTTTCTAGTCTTCAGCTGCAGCAAGCGGCAGGGGAGGGGCTGGGTTAGTATTCTGTGAGGGCGAGGGGAGAGGTGGCCTGAAGACGCAGACTGGGAGATCAACTGGTGGATAACTGCGTAGAGTATAAGACTATATAGTTTTATATTGATATAGTCTCATTTTATATCACGTTTGAAATCATCTCGATATTTTTAAAATATCGCGATATTGCCCAGCCCTGTTGGTGCGCCATCTAATGCTACATGCAGGTTGAAACAAGTATTTTACTTGTCATAAAATGTTTATATTTTTCCTTAACTATGGACATTTTAATTAATTATATTCCTTATAATTATCTACAGGTCCTTCTCCAAAAAATTATCATATTGTGATAAAGGTCATTATTTTCCATAATGTAATGATAAAAATTAAACTTTCATATATTTCAGATTCATTGCACACCAACTGAAATATTTCAGGTCTTTAATTGTTTTAATACTGATGATTATGGCATACAGCTCATGAAAACCCAAAATGCCTGTCCCAAAAAATTAGCATATCATGAAAAGGTTCTCTAAACAAGCTATTAACCTAACCATCTGAATCAACGACGTAACTCTAAACACCTGCAAAAGATTCCTGAGGCTTTTAAAAACTCCCAGCCTTGTTCATTACTCAAAACCACAATCATGGGTAAGACTGCCGACCTGACTGCTGTCCAGAAGGCCATCATTGACACCCTCAAGCAAGAGGGTAAGACACAGAAAGAAATTGCTGAACAAATAGGCTGTTCCCAGAGTGCTGTATCAAGGCACCTCAGTGGGAAGTCTGTGGGAAGGGAAAAGTGTGGCAGAAAACGCTGCACAACGAGAAGAGGTGACCGGACCCTGAGGAGGATTGTGGAGAAGGGCCGATTCCAGACCTTGGGGGACCTGCGGAAGCAGTGGACTGAGTCTGGAGTAGAAACATCCAGAGCCACCGTGCACAGGCGTGTGCAGGAAATGGGCTACAGGTGCCACATTCTCCAGGTCAAGCCACTTTTGAACAAGAGACTGCGTCAGAAGCGCCTGACCTGGGCTACAGTGAAGCAGCACTGGACTGTTGCTCAGTGGTCCAAAGTACTTTTTTCGGATGAAAGCAAATTTTGCATGTCATTCGGAAATCAAGGTGCCAGAGTCTGGAGGAAGACTGGGGAGAAGGAAATGCCAAAATGCCAGAAGTCCAGTGTGAAGCACCCACAGTCAGTGATGGTCTGGGGTGCCATGTCAGCTGCTGGTGTTGGTCCACTGTGTTTTATCAAGGGCAGGGTCAATGCAGCTAGCTATCAGGAGATTTTGGAGCACTTCATGCTTCCATCTGCTGAAAAGCTTTATGGAGATGAAGATTTCATTTTTCAGCACGACCTGGCACCTGCTCACAGTGCCAAAACCACTGGTAAATGGTTTACTGACCATGGTATTACTGTGCTCAATTGGCCTGCCAACTCTCCTGACCTGAACCCCATAGAGAACCTGTGGGATATTGTGAAGAGAAAGTTGAGAGACGCAAGACCCAACACTCTGGATGAGCTTAAGGCCGCTATCGAAGCATCCTGGGCCTCCATAACACCTCAGCAGTGCCACAGGCTGATTGCCTCCATGCCACGCCGCATTGAAGCAGTCGTTCATGCAAAAGGATTCCCGACCAAGTATTGAGTGCATAACTGAACATGATTATTTGAAGGTTGGCGTTTTTTGTATTAAAAACACTTGTCTTTCATTGGTGGGATGAAATATGCTAATTTTTTGGGACAGGCATTTTGTGTTTTCATGAGCTGTATGCCATAATCATCTGTATTAAAACGAAAGTTACGTATGTAACTACGGTTCTATGAATCCCGGATGACCGCCAGAGGGCGGTGCTGAAAGCACTGAATGTTCCCTTCGCGCATGCGCTGATTCGAGTAATAATACCAACGGAGTCACAGGTGTGACACGGATGACCAATCAGAGGCTATATAGCCCGACGTCATCCGCTGCTCTGCTCCTACAGAATCTTCTCGCGAAACGCAAGGATTCTGAGTGACGGAGAAGCTCTGGCGGTCATCCGGGATTCATAGAACCGTAGTTACATACGTAACTTTCGTTCTATTTCATCCCTCCTGACCGCCAGAGGGCGGTGCTGAAAGCACTGAATGACTAATATCAACGATGTCACAAGGAATTCTAACACCTACCTCACTGAGGAGGCCCAGAGGACCCTTGTAGAAGAACCTGACCCAGGGGATGAGGGGTGGCCACGTTAACTCTATAAAATCTGGTGAACGTGCTTGGGGAAGCCCATGATGCAGCAGCACATATTGCTTCCAGCGGAACCCCTCTCAGGGCAGCCCAGGAAGCGGAGACGCTCCTGGTAGAGTGAGCCTTCAAGCCGACCGGCAGGGAGCCGGGCCCTGCAGCATAGGCGTGGCAGATGACGTCCACGATCTAGTGGGAGAGGCGCTGTTTGGAAAGAGGACAGCCTAACCTAGGGCCTCCATAACACACAAACAGCTGGTCTGAATGTCTTATCACGGCAGTAGCTGCAACATATGCCTCCAGTGCCCTTACCGGGCACAATAATGCAGACCCCTCACCAGGCGCAGGCTGAAAACGTGCCAGCCTCAACGGTTGGTTAGAGTGAGAGTGAGATAACACCTTTGGTACGAATGCAATGTTTGGCCACAAGGTAACACACGAGCCCTCAGGGCCCCACCTGAGACATGAGGGGCTGATTGAGAGAGCATGTAGCTCGCTGACCCTCTTTGCTGAGGTAATAGCCAACAAAAAAGCCGTCTTAC